GTGTGAAGCCACCTCAGGCTGTCCCTTCTCCTGTCTGCTGGCCTCTTTTCAACCCAGAATGGATTATTTGCTCACCAGCAACCAGCTAGCACGGCGTGCATGAGCCTGAGTACAGCCAGCACACAAAGTCAGAGGGACATGGGGACCAAGGAGCTGCATGGCTGGACCAGTGAGCATCCATCCCCTGGAGCTGGCACCCAGCACCATGAGCTCAGTACTGCCACGGCAAGGGATGTGCTCTGGAGATGGTGCTTGTTGCTGCCAATCTTTCCTGTCCGATGGAGGCTCTTTTGGAGGCAGAGCAGGGTGTATATCCCAATAATTTTGGCCTGGAATTTGGGTGTTTATAGCCTCCTCACACTGCTCCTGTGAGCACTGTAGAAACACTTTCTGGAAAGTGTTGCCTTTTTCTTAGAGTCCATCTGGGCTGCACAGTCATGTGCACATGTTTATGGGTGTTGTCACATGTACCCCTGCACCAGGGTAGCCATTCCCAGCCCCCATGAGTCCCCACACTGCTGGAAAAGTGTCATGGGACAGTAATCAGGGCCACCATGGTGCTACAGGGACAACCTCTCCCCAAAGTCTTCTCAGATCTAGGTGTGTGATTGGCAGGAATCCCAAACTGAGGCCGGTCAGTGTCACAAACCATCTTCCCCAGGAGGCTGCCAGGCCAAGAGGATGCCTTCCTCATCTCTTCTCCTTCACTGACTGCATCAGGGTCCCCAAAAAACTCACAGGGGAGACGCTGACTGCCTAATTTAGGGTCATCCCAGCCTTAATACAGCAGCAGGTGATGGGATCGGGGAAGGAGCTGGGCAGGGACTGCAGGGAACCTGAGCAGGAGCTGGTTAGAGAGCACAGGGACACTGGGCTGGGGGTCTGCAGCAAGGCCAGCTGGATGGGCACAGATGCTATGCAGGCAGGCAAGGGGCCGCTGGAATGGCAGTGGCAAGGAGAGGGACAACCTCCAAGCAGTCTTGCGAGCTGAGGGCAAGCTGAAATGTCACCCAATTTCCTCTGTTGCCAGAAGCCACTTCCTCCACTTTCCAGTACAGACGAAGAAAGGCAATTGCAGCTCGCGCTCGCGCTGAGCAAAGAGGAGCACGAGAAGGTACCTGTGTCCTGCAGTCCTGGCGCTCCGCTCTCCTTGCACTTGGTCTTCTCTCCGTGGCACCAGAGCCCAGAACGTCACCTCGCTCTGGTGCCCGCTTTGCTTCCGCTGCTCCGGGCTGTCTGCTGAGTGCTCTCCTGGGGGGCTCGGTCCTGGAGGAGCTGTCTGCTCAGATGCTGGGACTTTTTGGGTGGCAGCTCCTGTGCTGGGTGTGTCTCCTGGAGAAGGTGCTGTCTGCAGGGTTCCTGAGCTCACGGGCCCCATCCCTTGTCCCCACAGGAAGTAAGGACCTGGCAAGGGGAGAACTCCCTGCAGCAGAGACCTGTGGAAGAGCCTGCCCCGGGCAGGGACGAAGAGCAAGAAGAAGATAAGATGAAGAAAAGCCAGGTACAGCACTGGAGGCTGGGTGGCCACACAGGGGTGATCCTGCAGGTCTGCCCCAGGCTCCTCTCACCTCTTTATTCCCTTCCTGTCTGCAGTCCTCTATTCTGGAGCTGGCAGATATATTCGGGCCGGCGCCAGCCCCCTCCAGCCACACATCTGCTGACCCATGGGATATGCCAGGTGAGGATAACTTGCAGGCTGCCAAAATTTGGGACAGTGGCAGAAAGTTGTCCCTTGCCTCTGTTCCTCCCCAGGAGCTCAACAATGAGATCCTCTGCCTTCTTCTCCCTCTGGTGCCTAGTCCATTACACTCCTAAGTGGTACTGCTGGAAGCCATGGTCTCCTGGCAACATACCCACTACTCAGAATTCCTCTGTGCTCTGCATTGTTCCCTTCTCCCAGAGTGTCCCTTTTTTTCCAGATATGAAACCCAAAGCGGAGCCAGTGGCCTCTGCCTGGACCGGTGCAGCAGATCCCTGGGTGCCAGTCCCAGACCCTGGTGGGGAGCCCCTCTCCCAGGCGAGCGTCTCATCCCAGCAAACCTCTGCTGGGCCCTGGGACTTTCCCCCCAGCACCACTGCAGCCTCTGACCCCTGGGGGAAGGCACCGATGTCTTCTGGCTTCCCTCCTGCAGACCCCTGGGGAACAGCATCCCCCCCAGCCCCCCAGGGCTCCAGTTCTACACCAGCTCCTGACCCTTGGGCTGCTGTGCCTGAGCAGCCTCCAACCCCTGGTAAGAGGCTCAAGGGACCTTTTGGCTTTGCTGAGGATTGAGGACAGCCTTGACCATCGCTGCCCTCCTGCAAGTGGGCATCTCTGGGTTCTCCCCCCTTCCTCCTTCAACCAGCTCCCCAAGCATCCCTTCCTTACCCTCCTGACCCTCAGCAGGACCTCTGCTCACCCCTCAGCATCCTGAAGACTTCAAGGAACTTTTAGGCTTTATCTTTGTACAGAATAGGCTGTTTTAATTAACATGGCAGTTAATAGAGCCATCCCATGGGAGCACATGGGAGCCCCACACCCCTTCAGCAGTGGGGTGATGCCATGTCCCATTAGTGATACCTGTTTGCTCAACCCAGATGACCCCTGTACACCCTGCCAGGACTAGACAGGACCGTTGCTCATCGCAGGTGCCATGTTGCAGATAGGGAAACAGTTGTAGGAGCAGCCTGTGTTTCAAAGCTCAGCGCCACTTTCAGTTCCTCCTGGGTGTTTCCTCTAGCCCCGTGCAGGTCCTGCATGTGTTGCCCCCAGGTTTTGGTCCCTGGTGAGGGTTGCAGAACCTGGTCTGGGGGACAATACTCGTACCTGCAGACCTGTCCCCTCCACTTGTCCCTGCCTGGGCTGGGAAAGGGACCTGATTGTTAAGGGGTAATGGCTGCGAGCAGTAGGGGTGTCTTGGTCTGCAATGATCCAATGATTTAGCTCATCTAAGCCTTCCCCAGTTCACATTCCTGATTCCCAACCCTATGCCCCGCACTGCATTCCCTCTTCTCTGTCTCCTTGCAGGCAGCCACCCCTACCTCTTTCCTGCCCTTCCATCTCCTGCCTCCCACCTCCCTGCTTGCTCCCCTCCTTGAGTGTCCCCTCTTCCCCCCAGCTCCAGGGGGGAATGCTTTTGACCCGTTTGCAAAGCCGCCCGAGCCGCCGGAGCAGGAACCCTCGCAGCCGCCCTCCTCGGCCAAGTCCAGCAGCCCTGTGGGTAAGAGCTGGGAGTGGGCAGGTGGTGACCTGTCCCTGCCTGGGCAGGGAGGCAGTTCTAGGGCTGGCCAGGCTGTGTGTTGTTGCTTGCTGGTGTGGCCAAATCTTGTTTCCACGTGCTGTGGCCTCAGTCTGCCCCGTAGCTGAGGAAGCAGCCCAAGTCTGTGTGTACCCGTGTCCCTAACTCTGCTGTCTCCCATGGTGGCTTGGGGGATACTTGGGCAGGCCATGCTGCAGGCTCAGCCCCACTGTGTTATGCTGTGACCTGTGGTGAGATGTGTTGTCAGCCACCCTGTGCAGTGACAAGGGAGAATGCTGTCACTCTTGGTGTCTCCCAGCTGGCTCATGTGTCTCATCTCCCCTCCCTCCATCTCAGAGCCCGACCCCTTTGGCGACCTGTTCCCCAGCACCAGGCAGGATGGGGCAAAGAGCTTTGACCTTGCCAACCTGGCTGACTCCCTGCCTGAATCCGGCAAGGATCGGAAGGACTGTAAAACCCCCGAGGCCTTCCTTGGCCCTGCCGCCTCCTCCCTGGTCAACCTGGACTCCTTGGTCGCACCTACTCCGGCCTCCAAGACCCGCAACCCCTTTCTCTCGGGTAGGTGCCGCAGGGCTGCCGGCCAGGGACTTCCCTGTGCTGGGCAGGTGCTGGGCGGGGGAGAAGTGCTGGAGGTGGCCTGCCTATCCTGACATGTCCCATCTTCTCCTTGCCAGGTCTGAGCACGCCGTCCCCCACCAACCCCTTCAGCCTCTCCGAGCAGCCCAAGCCCACGCTGAACCAGATGCGGACCAGCTCGCCGGTGCCCGGCCTGCCCGCCGGCCACCCCGCCAACTCCATGACCTACAGCGCATCCCTGCCGCTGCCCCTCAGCAGCGTCCCCGCTGCCACCGCTGCCCTGCCCGCCTCCGCCAGTGCCTTCCCGCAGGCTGGCACCTTCCCCGAACTCCCCAGCACCTTGCCGCAGCCTTTACTGCCGCTGAGCGGCCCCCCGGCCCCACCGTCCGCGCCCGGGGGGCTCAACCCCTTCCTCTGAACCTTCCTCTGGACATCTGGACATGTGGACCCCCTCCCCAGCTGTTACAGCCCCTCCGACCTTTCCTTCCACCGAGACTTGGGGGTTGCTAAGCTGCACGGGGGGTGCCCCCAGCAGCCCCCTCCCCGTGCCCACTGTGGGGGCAGCCAGCATGAGCCCCCGTGCTTGACGGGCAACAGGGGCCCCTTCCCTCGGTGTGGCGAGCCACGGTGGGGCTGGCTGTGGCTCCGCTGCGGGACGGGCAGGAGGGAACCCCTTCCTCCGTGAGGGGCCGCGGCGGCGGCCTTACGAAGGGGCTGTGCTGCGGGAGCTCCGCTCAGCGGGCCGGGCGGCTGCACGGACTGCGGACGGACCCGGGCGTGGCTGGGCTTTGCCCCAGACCCACGGCGATCTGGGGCAGCGCGGGGCCGGGGCTGGGAGCCGCGGGTCCTCCCACCGCGCGGCGTTCGCCCTCCCTCGGCTGCTCCCCCTCAGCCCCGTCCCGCCGCCACCGCCCCGCGCCGCTCCCGGGGCGGCGGCAGCGGTGCTTGGGGCGCTGCGATGGCGGCGGCGGCGGGAGCCCGTGCGACAATAAACTGCGCTGAGCAACCCGGTGTGCGCCTGCCAGTGCCCCGTGCGACGGGAGACCGAGCGGGGCGGTGACGGGGCGGGGGCCCGGCGGGCGAGGCCGCGCCTCAGGGGCGGGGACGGCTGCGGGCCGGTGAGGGCGGGGCGCGGGAGCCGCCGCCATGTTGGCGTCGCTGCGCTGCGGCCGCAGGTACCGGAGGGGCCGGGGAGCGGGGCCGGCCCTGGGGGCGCCACCGCCGCGTCCCCGCCGCCGCGGGAGTCCTCCCGCACCTCTGCTGTGCCCGCTGCGTGCTCGCTGCGGCGCCCTGCAACCCTTCTGCGCCTCCTCTAGGTTCTCCCTTTCCGCACCCGTACGCTTCTCCTGCCTTCCCCGACATCCTCCCCATATCCATCTTCATCCCCCTGTATCCTCGCGGTACCGCAGCCCCTGCACGACTTCACATGCTCTATACCCCCGTTCTGCATCCCTTTCCCACCTCCTGCATCCCAACCTTGCATCCGCATATCCAAACCCCGCATCTGCCCAGCAGCAGAGGAGTGTCCCTGGTCCTCACCTGCCCCTCACTCTCCTCACCATAAGGAGGGCCCCTTGTGCCCCTCCCTGCCCACATCCACCCCACGCGAGGGGATTTTCCTCTCTGAGGGGTTGTTCTCCCTGGGGACACGCCGGTCAAGTCCCGCAGATGCTGCTCCTGCATTTACAGCTGTTGGGTGTGCCCCCAGAGTGTGCTTGGGGGGAGGCTCTGGGGGTGGCCTTCACCCCACTGTGGGTGGGGTGTGCCAAACTGGAGATCAACCTCTGAGCCTTCAGTGAGTGGGAAGGACTCTTCTGAGTGCGAAGAACGTCCTAGGGGGGATTGGTGTGGACTGAGCCCCAGCAGAGCTACTCGGGGCTGAGATTGTTCCCCTCGGCATGGGGAGGAGCACCCTGTCCTGGGGCGCAGCAGGACCTGGGGTGGTGGTGCTGACGCTCTGGTCTGTCATGGCTCTGTCCAGAGCCTGAGCTTTGTTGTGGTGAGCAGGGAACCCCTGAGCCTGTTTGGTGTCACAGGTGCACATTTCTAACGGGGATCGCAGCCATGTCCACGGTGGGGACAGCCGGCCCCCCCAGCGTCCCTCGTCACACCAACCGCCTGATTAATGAAAAGTCCCCGTACCTCCTGCAGCATGCCCACAACCCTGTGGATTGGTAAGAGCAATGGGGAGCTGTTCCCCTTCCTCCTCCTCCTTCTCTTGCTGTGCCCATGGGGCTGAGGGACTCTTGTCTTCCCCCCCACAGGTACCCTTGGGGTCAGGAAGCCTTTGATAAAGCAAAGACAGAAAACAAGCTGATATTCCTGTCAGGTAACCAGAAACAAGGCATATTTCACATCCCCTCATGTTGGTCTGTAGATGATCAGATAAGCTGAGCTGGTGTGTGAGTAGCCATGTAGGTATGGATGACCACCAAGCAAGAGAAGACCACGTGCTGGAGTAGCTCTCTCTGAAAATGCATGCAGGACCAGAGTCCTTGGTGTGCTTTTAGGATCAAGAACTGGAAAGTTCAGGAGACTTTTCCACTCTGTCTCTTGTCCAGGGAGGCAGTAGCTGTTGCCCATAGCAAGGGTCCCCATCTCTGAGCGTTCTCCCCATCACGTGTTTTCTGCTCCCTGCGAGTTGCTGCCCTCACCCACCTGAACTTGCTTGCAGTTGGCTACTCTACCTGCCACTGGTGCCATGTCATGGAAGAGGAGTCCTTCAAGAGCAAGGAGATTGGGGACATCATGAATGAACACTTTGTATGCATCAAAGTGGATCGTGAGGAGCGGCCAGATGTGGACAAAGTGTACATGACCTTCGTGCAGGTGAGGGAGGCAGGGACAGGGGCCAGGAGGCTTTGACTGGCTCCCTCAGGGTGTTGTTCATTGTCATGTTCCTCAGACAAGCAGAACCAGTATATGGGGTGGTCTGGAGGGGTTTCAAGGGTGGACAGAGGTACACATCTCTCTTCCAGTGAGGCTCTTGGATGTGCTGGAAGGGCACAGAGCAAGTGCCCCTTGCGTGATCTTGATGCACATGCGTTTTGTCTTTCAGGCCACCAGTGGTGGAGGTGGTTGGCCCATGAGTGTCTGGCTGACCCCAGACCTCAAGCCCTTTGCTGGGGGGACGTACTTCCCTCCTGAGGATGGAGTTAATCGTGTTGGTTTTCGGACTGTGCTGCTCCGGATCGCAGAGCAGGTGCGGGGCAGGAATGGTGTAGCAGATGGGGCTGAACCAAAGGGAGCACAAAGAAATTGGTCTGGGCTTGAAGGGTTAACTGAGTTAGGAGATTCAGTTGTGAGGAAGAGTAGCCCAGAGAACCAGCCAGAGCTTTGGCTTGGTTAGAAGTTGAGCTGATTTGAGGGTTTGAGAAGTTTGAGCTGAGTTGAGGGTTTGAGCTGATTTGGGGGGGCTGATTGGGAGCTGGAGGTGTGGTTTGGACTGGTGCAAGGCAGGAAGAACTATCTTTTTCCCCTTGCATCTTAGTGGAAGGAGAACAAAGATGCCCTGTTGGAGAGCAGCCAGAGGATTCTGGAAGCATTGCGACACACATCAGAGATCCGTGTTCAGGGCCAGGCATCACCCCCACCAGCCAAAGAGGTGATGGACACGTGTTTCCAGCAGCTCTCCAGATCCTATGATGAGGAGTATGGTGGCTTTTCCAAATACCCCAAGTTCCCCATGCCAGGTCAGTCTGGTCTCTGCTGCTGAGATCTGCTGTGGGGCAGATAGCAGCGTGGGGGCAGAGCCTACCCCACAGCCTCCTGTTATCTCTCTGTGTTTCAGTGAATTTGAATTTCCTGTTCACCTACTGGGCCCTGCACCAAACTACTCCAGAAGGTACCCGGGCACTGCAGATGGCTCTGCACACCCTCAAGATGATGGCCCATGGGGGCATCCATGACCACATTGGTCAGGTAGGAGTAAATCTTTGGGGGTAAGCCCCTGTCATGGCCAGGAGGTGTGGGGCGGAGATGGGGGGTAGAGACATCTTCCCATGGTCTCTGCAGGGGTTTCACCGCTACTCCGTCGACCAGCACTGGCATGTCCCTCACTTTGAGAAGATGCTCTATGACCAGGGACAGCTGGCAGCCATATACAGCAAAGCCTTCCAGGTACAGCTTTGGCATCCCTCTGTGTGGCTCCCACTCCTGCAGGCTGCGAGGACTGGCCTGGTTTGGGGAGCAGCTTCAAAGCCTGTTTCCCAAGATACTCCCCATCCCATGGGCATGGAGCAATTCAATGATCCCCTTCATCGCCTGTTGTTTATCCAGAAGTGCTGCACAAACTCATGACAGTGTAGCCCAAGGGCTTTGAGTGTAATGGGGGAGGAAACAGCCTTTGGGCTGGTCTTTGCAAGTCAGCAGACAATGCTGCTGCCTCTGACCTCAGTGTAACTCCAGCATTACTCTCCACTGCCCTTTGTAGATATGCAGTATTCACTGATAGTAGATTTCTGTTGAAGGTCTTACTCTGAATACATCCCTCACTTAAAATCCTTGGACTTTCAAATGCTCCTTTGCCAATTCTTCAAATTGAAATCTCTCACCATATCTTGTGGTGTCTCTTGCCCCCTCCCACCCATGTAAAACTGATGTCCACCCCGTGTGTCCCACAGATCTCTGGGGATGAATTCTTTGCTGATGTCGTCCGAGACATTCTACTCTACGTCTCACGTGACCTGAGTGACCAGGTAGGCTCTTCCCTGAGCTGAGCCAAAGGGAGGCACTTAGCCTGCCTGGGATGTGGCCTGGAGCTGCTTTTCCTCCCTTCTGTCCCAGCTGAGCTCAGTCTGGAGCACCACTGAGGCTCATTAGCCAGCCTGCCAGCCCTTCAGTGATGGGGAGCTGGCTGAAAGTGCTGTCCTGGAGCTGGAGGGTCTCTCTGTTGTGCTTTTCCCAGGCAGGAGGTTTCTATAGTGCACAAGATGCAGATTCCTACCCGACCACCACATCCAGAGAGAAGCGAGAAGGAGCTTTCTGTGTGTGGGCAGCCAAGGAGCTCCGGGCTCTCCTCCCTGATCCTGTTGAGGGTGCCACAGAGGGGACAACCTTGGCAGATGTCTTCATGCACCACTATGGAGTGAAAGAGGCTGGCAACGTGGACCCTGCAAGGGTGAGGGGAGAGTAAAGACCTGCCTGGTGTCAGGAGCAGTGATGAGGGACCTGCATCCACAGGCATGGAGGGATGGCAGAGCAGCCCCAAAACACTGAATCCAGCACCTCCTAAGCCCAATGGCATTCCTAGAGCGTGTCTCCCTCTCCCCTCAGGACCCCCATCAGGAGCTGAAGGGAAAGAACGTCCTCATTGTCCACTGCTCCCCAGAGCTGACGGCAGCCAAATTCGGGCTGGAGCCAGGCCAACTGAGTACCCTGCTGCAGGAATGCCAACAGAGACTGTCCTCAGCCCGGGCACAGCGGCCACAGCCACACCTGGACACCAAGATGCTGGCAGCATGGAATGGTGAGGGGCAGCTCTGCTCTGGGGACACATGCCTTGGCTGGACCCCTGCCAGGGCATGGAACCAACAGGTCCTACTGGGACTGAGGAGCTCCCACAGAGGCTGTGATCAGGGCCTGTGATCAGGGGTTGTGTGGAAGCAGCCCCACACCTGCAAGCTTTGGGAGCATCAGGATACTGCTATGGCTTTATTTCCCTCCACAGCTGCCAGCAGAGAGCAGCAAAACTTCCCCTGCCTCAGTCCAGCTCTTCTGGCTGGGCTGTGTGGGAGGGGTCTGAGTTGGGGACCCAAGACCCTGGTGGGCACAGAGCCCATCCCTACTGCTGCATGGCTGAGGGATGACAGCACTATGTCTGTCTGGGGGTCGTGCCTCAGGGAATAACTGCAGGACCCCTGGCTCTATTCCCAGCAGTAAATTCCTGAATAAATTTCGGTCTGGAGCTGGCATGGGCTGGAGTTATCCTGCAAACTAGAATAGTCTTGAGTCCTGTATTTGCCCACAAGTGAGGGTTCAGCTCTTGCTGGCCTTACAGTACTCTGTCTCTTTGGTGACAGTGAGTGACTTCATTAGTGATTGGAACTGAGCAGAAGAGCTAAGACCTGACCTGCTGGCATCAGGGAGGATGAGCTTCACGTTGAGCCTCCTTCAGAGGACTGACAGGGACCCTCTCACCGGTTCCATGTGCCCGCCCCTGACCTGTCCTGCTGTCTCTGCCTCTGCAGGGCTGATGATCTCAGGCTTTGCCCAGGCTGGGGCTGCCCTATCTGAGCACGGATATGTGAGTAGGGCTGCACAGGCAGCTGCTTTCCTGAGGACACACCTTTTCGACCCAGACAGCGGGAAGCTGCTGCGGAGCTGCTATCAGGGCATGCACAACTCAGTGGAGCAGAGGTGAGTATCAGAGACTCCACAGACTTGACTGGTCACCTGCAGGTGCTGCCCAGACCCTCAGCAGTCCCTGTCTTGTCTTCCAGGCAAGACTGAACTGAGAGGGAGGAAGGGTGTTTGTTTTGTATAGAGCTCTGGTGCAATTTAGGAAGGATTAGTGTCCCTCAGCCAGTGAGGAGGAATTTAAGTCAAAACCTTTCCTATTCCTCATATTTCATGCTGGCAAGTGTCTTCCCCTTCCTTTTCCTCCTGTACAGAACCCTGGGGCTGAATTGTGTGATGGCCACAGCGAGTGCTTTGCTTGGTGGCATCTCCTTGGTTATCAGAGACCAGTAAGCAGGGCTTTGCTGGGTTGGAGAGCATTTCTAATCTGCTCAGTTTAGAGATTCTGATTTTCCTCCCGTCTGCCATTGCAGTGCTCTGCCCATCCAGGGCTTCCTGGAGGATTATGTCTTTGTCATCCAGGCACTCTTTGACCTGTATGAAGTCTCGCTGGAGCAGGGCTGGCTGGAGTGGGCCCTTCATCTCCAGCACATGCAAGACAAGCTCTTCTGGGACCCTAAAGGCTTTGCTTATTTCTCCACTGAGGCCAGCGATCCCTCCCTGCTCCTGCGTCTCAAGGACGGTGAGCTCAGGGACCTGGCAATGTGTTCCATGGGCTGTGCTGTGGGAGGACAGGGCTGATTGCAGATGATGGTGAGGCACTGGGCTGATGGCAGATGTTGGCCTTTGCAGACCAAGATGGAGTAGAGCCCGCCCCTAACTCTGTCGCTGTCACAAACCTGCTCCGAGCAGCTTGTTACTCTGGTCGTATGGACTGGGTGGAAAAAGCTGGCAAGATCTTGGCTGTCTTCTCAGAGAGGCTGCAGAAGATCCCGATAATCCTCCCAGAGATGGTCCGGGCCACCGCTGTCTTCCATCGCACCCTCAAACAGGTATGGGCTGGGGCTCAGTGTTCCCTGCAGGACCTGCGGTAGGAAGCCGGGCTGGCAATGGCATGGGTGTGGTCACAGCTCTGTTTTCTTCCTCCTGCCACCCACCCTCTCCATGGACAGGTCGTCATCTGTGGGGACCCCCAAGGAGAAGACACCAAAGAGATGCTGCATTGTGTCCACTCTGTCTTCAGCCCAAACAAGGTAGAGGTGCTCCCTGCCTGCCAGCCCTTCCCTGGTCTCTGCTGCCTGCACTGCTGGTGCTTCATCCTTTCTCTCAGTGCAGCTGTTGCACCCATCCTCCTCTGTTCTGCCTGTTCTGGGAAGGATCCTGTCCTTTTCATATCTAAGCACAGCCACAGGGCCATGTCTGAGCTCTGCACAAAGCATGGGCAGCCCAGCCCAGAAGTGGCTGCAGCAGTGGTTGTTATTGCTGCTGGCTGTTTACACTGCTCTCAGCCGGAGCCCAGTGCTTTCCCAAGGGGAAACCTTTCATTCCGATGTGAATGTGTCATGCCTAGGTGGATGTGTCATGTCCTGTGCAGACCCAGTTAGTATCTGGGTCACCTGCTGCCTGGAGACACCCTCGCATCCTTGGAAGGGATGAGGCAGTGCCTCACTCCAATTCTGGGTACCACCAGCTGGGAGAGGCTGGCTTTTCCCAAAGCTCTTCTCCCATTCAGCAGCTGTTGCTGTGTATTGGGTTTCCTGCCTGGCTCTGCTTGTCGTCATCCCTGCTTTGAGATGTATCAGTGCATCCCGCAGAGGGGCTGGAGTTGAGGCTGCACTGGAGCTGGCAGGGAAGGGCAGCACAGCAGCTGGTGCCCATCAGCTTTGGTGGGCGGTGTCCCTGCCTTGGGGATGATGGCTTTGACCTCAGCAAACCTGTGGAGCTGAGGGAAATAGAACCGAGCTGTGTGAGGGGGCTCGGTATTTGGATTGGATTCATCACTGGCCATTGGGTCCTGGTGCCAGGGACTGGCGTGTTCAGTGTCAGTCTCTCGGGCCAAAGCACCACTTTGCCTCTGTAACCCCAGCTAGGATGAACTGGGGGGGCTGAGCCATCAGCACAGAATCCTCTGCTCTGTACTCTGGTTAGCTCAGCCCACAGGGGTGTCACCCTGACCCTCTGCCTGTGTGCCCAGCGATGTTTAATGTCAGCATTGGAAGAGGAGGGACACATTCCAGGAGCATGAGTGGGGCACACAGTTCTCTGTCCTTCCTCTGCCATCACCCATCCAGCAGCACTCCTGTTCCATGCAGGTCCCTATTTTGTGTGCGAGGCCTCTATTCCCACACTCGTCCTCTGTCCCTTTGAAGGATTACACTGGGTGACCCAGTTTGCAGGAACAGGAGCCCAGCACCACTGTTAACAACCCTCTGCCCACAGCAGTTCAGCCTTTGGTCCCCTGAGCCCTCACCAGCAGCTTTGGGGTCTTGAGCAGAACAAACAGCACAGCCATGTCCTCTTCTTCCCTGCAGTCTGGTTCTCTTTTTACAAGTCTAGCTGGTGGGGATGCTCCTTCCCCAGGGGAGGATCTTTCTCCTAGAAGCTTTTGCATTCCTTGGGGAAGGGAGAAGATGAGGTCTGGGTATTCTGGATGGATATTTCCATGGGGGAGTGAAGCCATGATCATGCTTGCCAGGGCTGCTTGCAGGGGACCTATGCTTTGAGGGGCACGTGAGAGGCTGCAGCTGGAAGCTGGCAGCAGGCAGGGTGGGAGTCTAGCTCTGTTTGCCCCTTGTGTGTTCCTCATGTTGTGACGATGGGATGAAGCCAAAGCTATTCCAGCTTGGGTTTGTTTCCTGGAAGAAGAATTGTGGCAGGAGGGAAAAACTGTCCCCAGAGGAGCATAGGTCTGTGGACACACATCTCCCCTTCCCCAAGCATGAGTGTGCAGGAGTGGTAGGAGCATGATCTCTGGCAGTAGCAATGGCTCCTCCCCTTGCAGAGGTGATGGGAGGAAGGGGGGAGAATCCCATTTCTCAGAGAGTTGCACTACCTTTGGGAGCAGCCCACTGCCTCCCAACAGCCGTCCCTCTTTCCATGCTGCATCACACAGACATGAGCATGCTCCTGTTCTCACCTGCCTCCATCCCCCTCCAGCTGCTCCTCAGATCTCCTTCCCTGCCTCGGGAAGCTGCCCTAAGCAGAGCAGTCCTGGGTCAACTGCTCCAGGGACATGGCTGATTTGGGAATTGCCTTTGCCAAGGAGTTGGGGGAACATCCCCGTGTCCCCTGTGCCCCCACTCCCTTTGTGCCAGCAGGGTGCTGGGGGCCAGGCTTGCGTGCAGGAACACAATTAATTAGGTTGTTCCAGTAATTAGTTCCTTACAAACCTCACTCTGAAATCCTTGCTGTAACAAGATGCTGATGATACAATTGCATTGAGGTTGGGATTTTAAATGGACCCTGGGCCTGGAGTAGCCCTTTGCTGCAGGCAGCTCTTTGGGGATGCAGGTAGGGGTGCTGATTGCTGTTCCTGTGCTGGGAGCAGAGGGTTGGATCCCTGCTCTGGAGCTGGATCCCAGCTGCTGGTATAGATCCCTGCCCTCTTAATGGTCTTTAGGGTAATTATGAAGGGTCCCATTATCTCCTCGGCTGCAGAGCACTCACCTGCCACTCACCTTCATCCTGGCCCTGTGAGAGGACCTTGGAGAGCTTGTGAGAAAAATGAATAATGAATTTCAGATTGGACATGAATTGGTAATTAATCACTCCTGGAATTAATTCCAGACAAAGGCAAAGGGGGAGGAGAATGAGGGGGGCAGGAGGCAGGAGCAGGAGGCTGAGACAGAGCTGGGTCAAGCAGATGAGGGGTGATGGGGGACAGGACAGGACTGCAGCAGCCACTATCCAGGGCAGGGACTTGGGGATTTGGTGCCCCCCTGGGTTGTGCACAGCCCCTGCCAGGCATGAGTGAGGCTGTGTGGGTGTCTCTGGATGTCAGTGCTGGGTCTTCTGCTGGCCCTGCTGTAGAGGATGCTGCATGCCAGGACAGCAGTGCCATGATGGGAGATGTGTGTGCTGTGAGAGGCAGCATTTGGTGTCAGCATCCCTTGATGGCATTGGTGTGAGTAGTAGGGACATGTTGTGAGTGTGTCCATGCTCAGCAGACACATGCAGGACTGGGATTGGGGCAGGCAAGGGAGAGCTGTATACTCCAGCAGCAGGGTGTTTCCTCTGTGCCTTGGGAAGGGACAGCCTTTTGCTCACCCTTTGCATCTGCATCGGCATGAGGCTCGCTGCCAGCTCCTGGCCTTTCTCCTGATTAGCCTGTAAGCCCTGAGGCTTTAACAAACATTTTCTCTTTCAGAAAAGCTAATTATCCTGGCAGCCCAGTCATCACCTCTGGCTGATGCTGCTGTGTCAGCCGGGAGAGCCCCATACCCACTGCTCATTGCTGCCTGAGTTTTTCTGGGAAGCGTGGGGAGAGCAGGAGGAACTGGGCTGCAGGTTGGGTGGGGCAATGCTGCAGCTGTTTCTGGGGCTGTTCTTTGGCTGGGTAGGTGTCCCCAAGAAGCTGGCTAGGCTGGGATGTTCCAATCCCTGTGCTTCATCCTGGCTGCCAAGTGGCTGGTGTGGCTAAGGGAGGCAAAGCTGCCACATCTCCATCATGCTTCTTCCTGCACTGGCATATAGGGATGTGACCACCGTGGGACCCTGGCAGAGGGCTGGAGTGGCTCCCTTCAGCTCCCCATCCCTTCCCCATTTTGGAAGAGTGTGTGGGGGACACTGCCAGCCCTCAGCATGTCAGTGGGGCAGGAAGGACCAGCTGGTTGTGCTCTCTGGCTCTCACAGCTCCTTCTCTGGGCAGGTGCTGATGGTCGCAGATGGAGACAACGCTGGGTTCCTCTACCGCCAGCTGCCTTTCCTTGCATCCCTGGAGAGGAAGGATGGGAAAGCCACTGCCTATGTCTGCAGCAACTTCACCTGCTCCCTGCCTGTCACCTCTGTCCAGGAGCTGCGTGGGATGCTCAGCCCATGAGCCCTTCAGTCCTGCTGCCTGTGGGAAAGCAAGAGTGGGACAGGCTGGCCTGGGAATATGGAAGAACCCATTATAGAGGCAACCTGAGCACCATCCCAGATGGTTCCTAGCAGTGCAGTGGGGCTGTGCCCTTCCCCATCTGCAGCAGGCTGGGGTCTACTTGCACTATTGCACCAGCAGTGTCTCAGCACAGCTGACTGTGGTCCTGGGTGCTGTTTTTGGTCACCCATGGAGGAGCATTTCCTGCCCCTGTATACATGCTTGCTTCTCACCTCTTGCTAAGGAAAAGGAAACTGAATTAAATATAAATCCCAGTGTTAATGGAGAAGTCAGATGGGAAAACTGTTAGGGTTCCTATGGCAACCCAGGGTAACACTGTCAAAAGCACCTGGATGACTTGGGAGTCAAGCGCTCTTAAAAGTGTTACTGGCAACAACAGCTGTGGTATTTTTCCATTACAGAGGAGATTGTAACATACATTAACTTAATATATAGTGCATGGAAAAAAACCTGATTACAGCTGATGCAAAGTTTATTCTGTCTTTCCTCCCCTCCTTCCCTCCTTGTCCTCCCTGCTTCCAAATGGGTGAGTACCAGGTTTTCAGCATCCCTCTGATGCCCTGGGCTCCCCCAGCATGGTACCTCACACCCCAGCTGGCCGGGTGCTGTCATCTGGCAGCAAAATGGCACTGCCCACTGGCTTTCTAGTGGGTTGTAGCCAGGATTTGGGAGTAACTAGCCAGGAGAAATGCCTTTGAAGTCAAATCGGAATTTTGCACTTCGTCTGAGTGGAGGGGTTTTGTTTTCTCTCCTGTCTTGGATTTAAAAGCCTGAAGTGTTTCTGGAAATCCAGCTGAAAATTGCTGGTTTGGCAGATGTCCGCCTACTTTCTTCTGGGTTTTTTTGCCATCTTTTTTTTTAACTTGGGATCTCTGCTGTGGGGATTGATTTGACACCCGTCCTCAGAAGTGCTCAGAGTTGGTTTGTGTCTGCTGGGAGAGCATCCTCGGAGAACAGGGCTGCTGCTGAGTGCCTGTGGGGAAGCCCACATAGATGCCACAATGGCAGCTGTCCCCAAGGAGGCACAGGACTGGGGCGACATTTTGGTGCCCACCAGCCCCTTGTGGCACAGACACAGGATGCTTTCCTCCCATACTGTGTTGCTTGTTGGTGTCTCTGTGAGCAGCCCCCAGGCAGAGCTGTGCTGTGAATCTCTGTCAGGATGATCTGCCTTCACTTCTCTGCCTTCACTTCTCAGTAAAAGAAAAAAAAGAATGAGAAGTTCTTTGTGATGAATAACTCTTGTTGTAGCCCCTCTGTCCTCCCAGTGCCTTTGCCTTGCTGCTGTCCCTGGGTGCTGGTGGCCATGTCCTGTGCTTCCCACACTCTGCCTGTCCCTGTGCCTTAGCAGGGGTGGCTTTGCTTGAGTTCTCCTGCAGCTCCCCTTCTGGACCCCCTGGTACCCCTTGGCCAGGCTTGGTGCTGGGGCACCCAGGGGTGCTGCTCCTGGCTACAGTGGTTAAACCCTCCCAGAGGTGCTTCCTGTCCTTTCCTGTCCTTTCCTGTCACCAGCCTTCCTATTCCATGGCAAATGCTGTTTTGCTGCAAGGATTGTTTTCTGGGGCAGTTACCAGGAGACAGGGCTGGTGGGTGCTGCCCAGCCTACCCAGGCCCTCAGGAGGATGATGGAGTGGGATCTCCGGGCTCAGGGGTCCTGTGCCACTTCCCAGTGTCTGTTTTCCTGATCCCTTCCCACATTCCCTTTGGTGGCAGATGCAGAGGCTTTCTCCAGCAGTGCAGAGGCTCGGGGTGGCTGGAGGCAGCATCCTGTGCTCCCCCGCTCCTCTCCAGCTGCAGAGCTGTCAAAAAAGCTCTCCAAAAACACATCGGATAACTGATGTGCTGTTTGTCCCCACAAACACTTGGGTTTGCCATCAGGTTTCCCACATCACTTGGGTTTGCTGCAGGTGGCACAAGGGGACATCCTCCTACTTAGGGCTCTGGGCTCACCTGGGAGCCCCAGCAGCCATGGATGGGGAAAAACAGATTTTCCCTTGGCACCTTTTTTATATAAACACTGCTTTAACATTTAAAGCTTACACTGGGGGATGTGCAGGGCACTCCACTGCTCAGACCACCAAGGCAGATGGGAGGCCCAACACCCACAGTGCCCCTTTGGGGTTCTGGGACACATGAAGTGAGGGGGAGGCAGCATAAGCAGCCACCCTTGCTGCACTAATGAGGCTTTCTCTCTAATTAATATTCCCTGGAAAACCCAGCGCTGGTTCTGGATCTCTCAGCTTTCATCTCCTGTGGCATTGAAGTGACATCAGTAGGAGATGGGCTTTGAAAGCTGTTTGTTGTGGGGGATGTTGCATCTGTGGGAGAGGGGGAGTGGAGAAGGGTGTCCTAAGCCTGGATCCTCCTCCAGGGTCAATACCCTCATCCAAAACATATGTGGGGGTGCATTTGGGCATGCCTTTGAGAAGGTACATTGGGCAAAATAATGAGGTTTCTTAAGCTGAGCACATGGTTAATTCATACATGAGCACCCACATCTGCCACAGCTGAGCACTCCATTACCCCACACCTGGGTAGCCAAATAGTCAGCACCTGAGCTCTGATGTGCTTATGCCTGAGTGGAGGATTAGCTCCTGCCTGAGGGTTATTTTGGGCATGAAGAGGCAGGTTTTGGTAGCTGGGGGCTGCTGCAGGAGGAGGTTTGAAAGTGCTACTCAGTGGTTGCTCTGAAAGTGATTGAAAGGCTTCATAATGCCCCAAAATATTAGGGGAACCTATGACAGGTAGGTGCAGGGGATGTGGGGCTGGTATGAGGAGTCCCTCCAAAGCCAATCCTGTTATTCCAGTACTCACCCAGCAAGCTGCCGTGGTGAATCCCCTGAGTTCCAGCCTCCCCTCCTGGGTGATTTGGGGTGCTTGCTGGGGTCCCCTTGCTGCAGGATGTGGGTGGAGATACATGTTGGGTTGCACCAACCCTTCTCTGGCATCCCATGGAGCATCTGCAGGCAGTGGAGGGGGCTGGGGGGGCTCAGCAGCTCCTGCTGCCCTTCCCTGCCTTGCACAGATGTTCACACCATCTCGCTCCAAGTAATTCCAGTTTTCCTGACAAGTGAATTTGCAGCTGAGGCTGGCTGACACTTGCTCAAAACGTGCTTCTTGCTTTTTGAACTGACCTTCTGTGCAGATGGATGCCAGAGAGCAAGGGGACACAGCCAGGCTGTGCTGTGGGGACTCTGTGGGGATGTCCCCCGTGGCTCAGCTGCTGCTGTTTTCCCTCCCACAAAAGTGTGTCCTGGCCATTTCTGTCCAAACCCTACACCACCTCTGCATGGCCCTGGAGCATGTGCCCTGCCTGGCCACTCCCAGAGTCCCTGTGTGCTCCAGAGCTGTGCAGAGGAACCTGCAGCTCTCCCCAGGCTGGCTGCCTTTGCAGGTGCACTAGCCAAGGTATTTTGGGGACTATCATCCTCATGAAATGCTCAGCTGGTCTGAACAGGCTCTGCACCCACAGGCCAATGCTTAGAACCAGTTTACCACTTGGAAATCTCCCATTCCTACCTGGCAGCTGCAGCAATCCCACTCATTTCTCAAGGGACTGCCAACCTTGGCCACAGCTGGGAAGGCAGGCAGGGGTGGGCAGGGATGGCTGAAGGCCCTGTGGCACAGCAGGAGGCCATCAGCACCAATTAAGGGTTATGCAATGGACACTTGGCCATTGCAGGCCAGAGCAGGGGTGCACGTGGCCATTAATCCTCCTTTTTTATAGTTTTGGTAGTTACTGACTGTGGTGACTCTTGCATTAGATCAAAATTAAATGTTTATTTTGGAGGCTTTAGAAAAGGGCAGAGGAGGATGTCCAGGGTGGAAGGTGCAGGTTTGTGGGTGCCTGGGTGGGAGGGGGTTTTCGGGGTGTCCAAAAGAATCAGAACTGCAGTGGAGGGATGGTTATGCCCAAGTGCTGTCAGTCCAGGTGAGGTGATGGTGGCATCTCCCCTACCTTCAGCACTGTGTGAGCTGCTCAGAGGCTGGAGATGCTGAGGGCTCCCAGGGAGCCTGGGCTGCTAATCAAAGGGGAGCAGGCTCTGCTTTCCATCTGGGGTTTTATCCAAGCCTCAAGGCAGGGTGGAATTTGGGGTTAACCCCCTGTGTGCTGCAGTCTGGCAGGAGCAGGTAGCAATATTTCATGGTATCACCTGAAACTAAAAGGGGCCTGGGTTTTGGGGCCAAATCTCCTGCTAGAATAGCAGCTCCCAGCCATAGTTTCTGGGATGTCCTGAGACAACTTCCCTGGTGCCTCTAGGCCACCTCTGCTGGCTTGTTTGGGGTTTTTACCCACGGAGGAGAAACCTGAATGTCTCTGTGTGACCCAGCACTCTCCTCCCTGTCCCTGACACCCATGAATCTGGGACAGGCAGAGCTGGGCTTGCTGCAATTATCCATGGATTAACGGCAGCTAATTTAGTGGAGTCACAGAAGCTAAAGTGGATCGATACGGGGTGAAGAGTGTAAAGGAGGAATCAATAGGGATGCAGAAATTGGGCTGCACATCCCCGTGGGGATTTGGGGGCTGGGAGGGAGCGGAGGGGTGCAGGGGGAGGCCTGCACCAACCAGGAATCCTCACAGCAGGATGGAAACTGGGCATGTCCCAGTGCCCTCTGGGGTTTCTGTGCTCCCTGGCCACCAGTGAGGGCTTGCTCTGTGTGCCTTGGTTGCCTCCTGGCCTGGCAGCAGGGCACGAGGCAGGGTCCTTTTTCATAGCTGACAGCCCATGAATATTTATATCAGCCTATTAAAAATGGCCACTGCGTCCCAAATTAGTGACGGGGCCTTGGATAGAGGCAGAGTGCTGGGAGCAGTGGCACTGATGCTCAGATGACAGTGGCCTGGCCTCTCAGCTGGGTGAGGATGGAGCAAGAGACCCCTGTCCCTCTGGGGCTGCACGAGCAGCTCTCAGGTCCTGCCTTTGGAGTGGGCACTGCTCTCTCCTGCCACCCTCCCATCCCTCCTGGGAGCCTGCTCAGGGTGCCATGCAGAGCTCTGCCCCTCTTGGCTCCTCTTCCTCGCCATCCTGTGCTTTAAAATTCGTGTTTTAGTGGCTGTGAATGACATCTCCATCAGCTGCTGAGGGCTGTGGGAGCTGCTGACCCCACCACGTGCTGCCTCTGGGATGCAGCCAGAGCAGGTGTGTTTATCTCCTGGAAAAGAAAGGAAATCCATGTTTTGGTGAACAAATAGAAATTAAAAAGGAAAAGGATGGTGATAAAGTTATTTCCCATCTCCTAAGGGGTTGGCAGGGATAATAAATAGAAGAATCTAATTTAGAAGGAGTCTGCAAAGACAGAAGTGCTGGAGGGGTCTGGCTGTAGTGTGAAGCTGCAGCCTGAGTATCAGTGGAGCAAACCCATGGGGATGGAATGTGCCCTGGCAAGAGTAGGTGCCCCCATAGTGTTTGGGAACCCTTCAGCCCATGGGCAGGCTTGGCCAGGGGCTAAACTCTGGCAG